CCTGAAATAAAACAGTGGCGCAGAATGCGGGTTTTTGGGATAAGGGATTTCGTTTGTTTTTCTGAGTGGGGGGTTGCAAAAGTGATACAAATAATATAATTTGTAATTCTTTTTGGGCTGTCTTTCATGGTGAGCAAAGATTTCCTCCTGAGAGTGGATCAATTTGTTGCCTTTGGTCAAGCAAGTGAAGCAGATCTGCCTGGAACTGCACACTTCTCAGGCTGCCTGCAGGCTGTTTGAGGCAGATCTGATTTCAGGGCTGTTTCCAGTGCCAGGGCTGTCAGTCCTGTCCCACTGTACAGTGGGAGGTGCAGTAACACCCAGAGCAGGCAGCTGGCCACATCTGCACAGGGACTCGGCGCTGCATTGCAATTCTCTGCTGAGAACTTGTTCTGATGACTTCTTGAATTGAGTAATTTGTGGTGGCTTGCCTGCCTGGTATTTGATATCTCAAATCATGTGATTATTTTTATTTTGTGCATGAATTGGAATTGTTATGCCATTTATCCCAATTTTTGTTGGCACAGACTGATTTCAGTGTTTGCCATAGTGGAATAAAACATGCAATAGTTTAGAAATTTGTTCCAATCTATTTGTTATTCAATCTCCTAATGGTTTTTAGAATATAAGGATAGAAAAGAAAATAAATTTTATTTTATAGTATCTTTTTCACATCTCTATTGATTTTGTGAAGATCTTGGCTTTTCAGCATATGCAATGAAAGTAAATTTTGATCTTGATGCCCTTAAAGGTTTTCATGTACTGCTCATCCCTGGGAATTTGGCCTTAAGAACATGAGGCAACTCCTCTCACTAATGAGAGTTTGTCTGCAGGTATTGGAAAAGGTAATTAAAGGTGTGATGCCCATTAATTAAAGTCTGCTTAATGCTTTTGCCCGTGATTTTTTTAATTAATAGAGTGGCCTGAGGTCATAGTAATTCAATCCAAGACCTTAAAGGTAAGGACCTTGATGACAAAGACCACAACTAAAGAATTTTTAGGTATGTTTTTTTCTTAAAGTTAATAAACTCGTCAGGATTTCACTCTTGTGGATAAACCCATCTATCAGACACAGAACAAAAAACTGGGCAAGGGCAGTGCCAGGATTTTCTTTCGAGGACTTTTATGCTAACCTGCCTAAGGTATGCACTGTCACTCTTCAGCTGGCAGGACAATTCACGTGTGGGTTTCTGGGCTGTAATTAATGCTCACATTTGTGCATTACAAGCAGCCAGCGGGACAGAGGAAATTGGGAGGGGGGATAGGATGTGGCAGCGCTGTGTCTGTGCAGCCCGTACCGAGTCACAGGAAGGAAGCTTGCTGCCACAGCAGTGTATATTTTTTCCCAGTCTTTGGTGACTCCTGGAGCTCTCAGACAGATTTCAGACCCCTCTGGTGTCTCTGTCAAGGCACACTTGTTAAAACACGGCTTTTGCTGTTGTGGACGTTCCGCTGGGGCCGCGGCTCCCGCTGGCCAGAGAAAGGCAAACAGAGCTGGACATCCTCTGTTTACACAGAGCTGTCCCAGGGCTGTGAGGGTGGGAAGAGCCCTGCTGGCCTGACAAACACTGTGCTGAGTGGAAGCACTTTGAGCCAGGCTCCTAAGTGGTTAAAATAAAGCACATTCCTGCTGATTGCATGGGCTGGTGTCAAGCAGGAGCAGAGCTGCTCTATAGGCAGACACTACGTCACGGTGTTATCTTTGTTTAGCTTGTCTGTGCTTTATCATGTTGCCCAACAGTTTTAATAAAAAAAGAGAAGGAGGAGGAGAAGAAGAAGAAAAAAAAAGACTAGCATGAATAGTTGTAAGTAGAAGTATCTGAAAGCAGCAGATCTGGAGTGCCTTCCACCAGCTGCTGGCTGAAACAAAGAGGAGCATTATGAGAGGCACAATAAATGTGTTTGCTATCTCTGCTCTCTGTTGCAGGGCAGACACAAGCCGTCACAGTAATGAATTTTGAAGCCTGCAGTTTGGACTTGGGGAATTTATAAAACACAGTTGTTTTATCAGAGTGTTGCCTTGCCAGCTGTGTGATGGGAGTCTGGTTTCCATGGAGTGTGGTCAGCTGGGGGAGACAAATCTAGTCCCTAAAACAGCATTTGGGGCCATAGTCTCCTCTGTGGTTTCTCTCTCTGCTTTAAATTCAAATTTGGTAAGGAGGAAAGTAGTGGGGAAGGAATGTTATTTAAATGAAGAGCAGTTTTAGCCCTAATCAAATGTGCAGGCCCCATGAGAACTCAGGCTGCTGTGCAAAACCAGTATAGGAATTTGCATTTTATCCCTCTAAACAATGTAAAGAGATTGTACCTTTGATTTTTCCTGTTGTCTGGACTCTTTCTGGCATTGTTCTCCTGCCTGGTGTGGGCAGGAGGGGCTGTACAAACTGAACTGCCTTGTCTGTCCTGTAAGAGACTCTCACTGCTCCCACCTGTTCAGAGTTTGGTTCATTTGATTAATTTTGGCCCAGTGTACTGGTCAGATCCTGGGATGTTTAGCTGAAGTCTTGGTATTCCCTGCACAGTCAGGAAAATACATTACCAAATTGGATAAGCTTTCATTAGAAGCCCTTCCTTTCTTTGCTAAATTTCTTTAAAATAAGTTTCTTCCAGCATACAATAGCATTTTTACCAGATTTTATACTCAGTCTGAATGTTAATATATAAATGCTGTTCTTACCATCCATATAAGAAATTAGTTTTTTAATTTTTAAATAAAAAAGTCCCAATTGTGGTAATTGTATAATATCAATGTCCTGTTTGGGGGAAAAGGGCAAGTTTTTCTGATTTACTGGATTGAAGAACGTCTAGAGTTGGTGTTTTGTAAACGCCCAAGTTAGCTTTACATGGGTATTTAAACTGCCCAAGGCACTGTTAGGAGTTGCTCCGGAGCCAGTGGGAGTGAGGTGCTCACATGGAATTTGTGATTGTTGTGGAATTTTGTGTTGGAGTCCCCAGAAGTGAAGGGAGATACTGCAGGGAGAAGAGTGATTGTGCATGGGTGGGAGGACACAACCTCCAGCCTCAGGTGCTGAAAGCTTTATCTCTTGACATTGCTTTTAGATTATTCCTTTTCAAAGACACGAGTAAGGGAGATTCCTCATGGAGAGGAACTGGTGTGATGTGGTTTGCTTTGAAAGTTTAGCACATGAACACTCTGTAGGTGGGGGTTTCTATTGGCAAAATACAAAGGAAAAATTCACAAATGTACTGATCTGAAAACAATTCCCAAGAGATGTTGTGTTGATAAAAGCTTTTTTTCGTGGCACTGGGGTGGTTGTGGGCACTTCTCAATTAATGTTTGGTTGGAACAGGAGAGCTCTGGCTGTCTGTCCCAGAGCATTTGCAGCAGGGCACAGTTTTTGCTATTTAGAGCTGAGATGGAAAGTTCCTATTTAGATTTGGTGCCAGAGTCTTTAATAGAAATCATGGCTTGTGGTGTATTATAGGTCAGCGTATATTTGCTAGTTTATATTATGCTGACTAAATTGGCAGAATGCTTATTTTTACTGGTAAACATTCAGGAGATTTTCTCCTCGCTCCTTCTTTTTCCAACAAAATGTTATTTGTCGTTTGTAGGAATTAAGGCAGCATTTTATAAATCATCTGCCTCGGTGATGATGTGAAAATGTGTGGTGGCACACAAAGATTTCCATTGTCAGGTACCACAGGGCTCTAGATGGAGTTAACTTAGGCCTAATTTTAGGTCTGGAAATTATGGCTGTGTAAAAAACAAAATGCTTCTGGCAGTGTAGGAAAAATACAAATTTTAAACTCCAGCAAAAGCAGCTATTTCAGGGATATTACCAGAATAGGTAACCCTGGTTAATTTAGCTCTTCTCCAAGCCCCTGATGGAGCCCCAAAAGCACTTTTTTTACATCTTTAAACCCCTATGAGTTCTAAATATGACCTGAGGATGGTGAAGTGCAGCCCTGTGCTCCAGGCTATGGGAGTAGTGAGACGTTTAATTGAAATGGGAAAAGCCGTGGTCACGCTTTAACGCCTGCTTAGCAACGATCTGTCCTGGGCTTGTGCACAGCCAGCTGTAGCATCGCTGGAATTACTTACACACAGCTCCCATATGCTGGCAATGGCTTTTTCTGGGAAGTGGGAGATTATATAAAAACTTACCATCTACTCAGTCTGCCGCCAGTTGGAAATTAGCATTGCTGTGATTCCTCTGCTGAAGAATTGTGCTCTTTTGTTCGCGGGTCTAAACATACGTTGAAAGTATAGAGAAAGACTTGTAGGGACATATTTAAAAGTTGAATCAGCAAGTTCCAATTTCCCCCCTAATTTTCCCCTTGCATAGTTGTATACCAGACAAGCTTGTTTTGGACAGTGTTTTATAAAGGGAATCATCTGAGAATCTGAACATTTGTTCAGTTTTAGATGTGAAATATTTGGCATTAACGTGAACTGTAGCCCTGGAATTTATAACCGCGACTGTAAGAAGAGGAACAAAGCTTTTATTTCTCTGTGAATAGTCATGGTTTGCAGAGTGAGGTAATCACAGCCCGGCGCTGCGATTGCAGCCTGCCAGGGGAGGAACCTGAGTGAAAAAGCTGAGGGGGAATCTGAGGTAATCACAGCCCGGCGCTGCGATTGCAGCCTGCCAGGGGAGGAACCTGAGTGAAAAAGCTGAGGGGGAATCTGAGTGAAAAAGCTGAGGGGGAATCTGAGTGAAAAAGCTGAGGGGGAATCTGAGTGGAAAAACTGCTTCCAAGGTGGGTTAGTTCAGCCTTTGGGACCATCCGGGGTGAGCTCCCCTCTCCTGCTGCCTTTTCTCACCGCTTGTTCCAGCATAAGGCGTGATTTGGGATGCCTCGTCCATCCTACAACCACATTCCACGTGTGCAGTCTGGGAGGTGGATGTTACTGGGGAATTTTGTGGGATGTTACTGGGGAATTTCAGGGGGTTTTGCTGCGTGCTCCCCAGGGGGGAGGTTGTCGCTGTTGTCCCCGTGGCCGTGACCCATCCCTGCTGTGTCTCCCCGGGCAGGTGAAGCGGCTCTGAGAGGGGAGCCCCGAATGCAGCCCCTGCAATCCCCCGCGCTCAGCAACCACCGCACGGGCCCGCCGCCCATCAGCCCCAGCAAGAGGAAGCTCAGCATGGACCAAGGGGACGAGGAGCTGGACTGTGAAAATGACCACGTCTCCAAAATGAGCCGCATGTTCAACCCGCATCTGTAAGTGCCTCGCGTCTTTCCCGCACAGAACTGAGCGCTGCGTGCTAAAATCTGCTAAAATCGTGTCCTGGCTCCAACTTTGTGCTCCGTTTTTTCCCTTTGTTCTAGTTTGTGTGGGAGATCTGCACTAGAGCTGCCGTGATTAGATGGGTTTTCATGCTTTCTTTTGTTTTTGTACAGCGTGAAGTAACAGGAATTAGCTCAGCCTAACTATTTATAGCAAGCCATACGTATTCACCTTGCGATTTCTGCAGTGTTGTTCCCTCGTGCTTTGCAAGGCGCTCCTTTCACTTCCCCCCATTCTGAGGCTCTCTGGCTGGGGGTGGGGAGGCAGCAGCAGCAGGAGGAGGAGGAGGAACACAAGTGCTTTGCATTTTTCCGAGGCCAGGAGCTCCGAGCCAGCTGCTTCCTGGGCTGCCTTGACAACTGGGCAAGCGGCAGTTGTTGCTAAACATTCCTGCTCTGACAGTCAGGTGTGGAATGTGCCGGCCAGGTAAGGCGTTGATGAGCTGTGTTGGGCAATCAGCAGATGCCATTCCTGGGAATGCGAGCCTGGCTGGCACTGCTGCAGAATTCCTGTCATTCCTGCCTGGAGGAAGCGATGGATGGAGCTCCTGTGGCTGCTGCCTCAGCTCCTGCAGCCCCGGCATTCCGCGCATTCCACAGTCATGGGATGTGGACTGAGGGATTTATCCTGCCATAAATCACCGCAGCCTTACTCACAGGCTGGGCCCGCAGTCTGCAGCCTTGGAATTTGTTACAAATCGGGAATCCAGCGCTGAAGTAATGCAAAACAATAAAAGCTCGCTTCTCATTTACAACATACCTCCTCCTCTCCCCGAAAAAATTAACTATTTATAGCCTTGCTCTGGGGCCAGGAGGGCTTGGAAAGAACCGTGTGCTGCGTTTCTGGATGCATGACACAACTGAGGAGATTTATGGCATTTTTGAAATGTTATGTAACTTTATGGGGGAAAAGTGTGATTTTTTTTTTAAGGCTCATTTTCTACTGATGAAATAAAACACAGCTGGCAGTTACGTACATTATAACACTTTATATAGCGGGGGCCGTAAAAATAATGTAGTCTGAACCAACAGACTCATATGCAACTGAGGTTCAAAACTAAAAGATGAAGGCAGTTATTTCATGTGATCCCTTAGCTATATGTCAGAGCTGTCTAATAGTTTCCAGTGTGGTATGTTTTTATGGTTTTTCTCAATAGATTCTTTCTGTGATTTTGTACATGAAACATGCATTTTTAATTCTTGTAATAAAAAGCACTGGTTTTCTGCCCAGGGTTCATGTGACTTCATGTGTTTCAATTAAACTATCTGCTGCAGATGAATTGTAATCTAAATTAGCATCCATGAGGCCATCTCTTCTTATACTTTATTTTGTAAGTTTGATCTGGCCATACAAAGGTATGCTTTCATTGGAATATTATAAAAACTTAAACATTTGTGATTCATCTGAAACAGCTGGATTTCTGTGTATTTCAGATATATCAGAAAAGTTCACAAACATTCTCTGAATTTTATTCTCATTTCCCTGCCACTGCCTCAAATGGAGTTATTTTTTTGACTGTTTTTCATATTTTCCATTTTTTTCTGATTCGGATGTTCTGGTTTAACTGTAGAATTGGATTACTCAAGCTCTGTGGATCTGTCCAGAGAATTTTAGTTGGGAGATGGGAAATGTGTTGTGGAAGCTTGGCTTGTTCACACCCAAGGAAACATGGTGGATTTGGGGAAAGAATTAATTTGTGGAGCACCATAATGGTAGCCATTGTAGTGGAGGTTCTAGAAGTGTGAGGTTGACAATGTGCAGTTTAGAAATCCAAATGTGTGAGAGATGTGGAGATCAGGTGGCACAGTGTCTGTGGTGTCAGCAAAGACATTTCTGTGACTGGCACTGTAAAGATCAGTTTGAGGCTGTGTATTTTGGACTTTTCATCCTGAAAGCACAAGATGAAAGTGTTCCTGACATAAAACCTGGGCACAGCTGACAGAAGTGTTTATAACCTCCGGCAGCAGCTCTTGTTCAGGCATTTGGGTCTTTGTGATGGTGCTGGTAGAACTGGGAAATAGTTGTGTATTCATTCTCTTAACACCAGCATCTTGTGGCTGAAAATGTAATTAAATAGGCCAAGAATTGTGTGTTTGGTTCATTACAAACGGTGGAACCTTTTTGTTAGCAATTTGATCTTAACTCTGAGGCAGCAGCACCCCACTGTGCTTCAGTGGGAATGAATCCATTGAAAGGCTTTGGATGTTTTATTAGAAATCCAGTTACGTCAGCCTTTTGTTGGGAAATGGAGTGCTTGGAGACATTCCCTGCTCAGGTGTAATTCCCTGAAGGATCGTTTGTGAGCTGTACTTGGGTATGTTTACTTTTATTGTGGAAAAACACGACTATTGGAGTGCAGTCTCTGGAGCAGAGTGAATCAAATGCCCTGGCAAGCCTAGCAGGATCCTCAAATGTGTAATGGAATTAATGTGCAAAGAACACTTTATCAAATGTGCTTTTTCAAAGGAGAGAATTCTCAGTGTTAAGATAATAATATACTTGAGAGCTTGTGGATTAATTTTTTAAAAAACAGCATTTGACACTGCGTTCCTTTCATGTACTTTTATAGCTTCTGTGTTTTTGTGGTGATAGAAGTTGTGAACACCCATAAACTCCTTGGCTGGGAAGAACAAGTACTTCCAAATTAAAATATAATGACAGGTAATATAGAATTCCCTTATTTTTCTGGTGTGTCGCTCAGGTGTTTAATTTGAAATGCACTCACTGAAGTTAAAAATCTTGCTGAAGTAAAAGGTGCTTTTGGCTTCGTGCTGCTCTGTGGAGGAGAAGGGAGCTTGTTTTGAGGCTGGGCTTGAAACATGGCTTTGTTTTCCCGTGAATTCACTAAAACCACGGTGGTTTACAGCAGAGCGACTGGGAACTAGGATTGCACGAGAATTCTGTGCGGTGCAGGGGCGGGTGGCTCCGTCCTGACCCGCCCGGGGAGCGCTTGGGGCAGCGCTGCCGGGCTCGGGGCCTCCTGCCCGAGCTCCTTCCTTGCCGAGCTTCTTTCCTCTCGAGCTCCTTCCCGGGCCCCCTCCTTCCCTGGCTCCCTCCCTTTCTCCTTCCCTGGCTCCCTCCCTTCTCCTTTCCTGTTTCTCTCCTGCTCCCTTCCCTGTCTCCCTCCTGCTCTCATGCCTCCTTCCCTCCTGCTTTCCTCCCTCCCCTTCTCCTTCCCTCCCGCTCTCCTCCCTCCCTCTGTCCTTCCCCGGTTCCGTTCCGTCCCGCTCCCCTCCCTCCCTCCCGCTCTCCTCCCCGCCTCCTTGCTCCCTCTCTCCCTTTTCTTCCCTCCTTCCTCTCTCCCTCTGTCCTCCCGGGTTCTTTGCCTCCCAGCAGGGCTCCCTCCTTCCCTGCCGGCCTCTGTTGCTGGTTCCCTCCCTCGTCCCTCCCAGGTCTCTCTCTCCTCCCTCTCCCGTCCCTCCCGTTCCGCGGCCCCGGGCACACAAAGGCCGCCTTGTCCCGGCCGCCCCGCCGCCCTAAGAGTCCCCAGCGCGGCCAGCGGGCACAGCGCTGCCCCTTCCGAAGAAATGGCCTTTGCAATTCAGCCGGGGACCATTGTTTTTCTTCCTTGTGCAGAGTACGTCAGCCTGGAAGCTGGCCTTTGGGCTTCGGGACGAGCAGGCTTGTGTGTGGAGATTTTTCCCCTCGTTCCCGTTTGGTGGCATTAGGATTGCGATGGCAATTTATTTGTGTATAAAAATCTTCCTACGGCTAAATGTTCGCAGCTGTGAAGTCGAGGGAATAATTGTCTTGGTTTGTGTGATAAATAATTTGGCATTTTCTTGCAGTAAAAGGTCTGCACATGAAAAGTTACTGGTAGTGTGTATCATGTAAAATGATGTGTAGTTTCAGACTCTTCAAATTCTGGGCTGTATTCAGTTTTGTTACACTGAAGAATGATGTCCATCCCACCCTGAAGCTGCCTTACACAACAAGTTTTTTACCATGAATATTCAATTGCATTTGCTTACTTTAATGTGATAGAAGTTAGTGGGGAATCCTTTAAAAAAAGGTGTGCTAAAAGTTACCTTTATTTGAAGACCATGGAATAATTCAAGCTAGAGCAGACTATTTCATCCAACCGCCTGCTCAGAGCAGGCTCAGCTGCATGTTCAGTGAGTTTAGAGTTGCTCAAAAGGAGAAATTTTGAGTAAGATTTGAAATATTGAGTAAATAAAGTTCTTCATTAGAGGATTTTTTTCACCTTTCTCCTTAGCTTGGCTGAGAACGCAGGGTGGAAGTGTTCTGCAAAAAATCAGGTCCCTGTTGTGGAGGAACGTGGCTCCAGCAGGGCTTGAAAAGATGCAGAGCTGGCTCTCAGAGGTAGTGTGGGAGTTGTCAGAGAAACTCTTTGCTGCTCTTTGGGTTCCAGACTTCATGTGGTATTGAGAAATATGTTCCCACTGTCATTTTATTGTGACAAATTGGAGTTGGGAAAAAATGCCTGCACAAAGTTGAGAACACCCAAAGTGTCTCTCATCTGCTGAGTGAAGTGTCTTCTCCCAGTCCTTGGCATAGATGTGTCCTTGAAGGATTTTGGGGTTCCCCTGGGGCTCTCAAGGCAGTTCTGTTGGAGCTGAACTCCTCAGTGGAACTGTGCCCATGTGGCTCTTGTGTTAAGTGGACAAAGAATCACAGAGCAGGTTTCAAACTGCTTTTCCTAATTTTTTTTCCTTTTCTTGTCTGCATTGCTTGAATGATGGAGTGAATCAGACACTTACTTATTTATTAATGGAGATCACACAGTGCACAAAATTAAATTGTTTTCAAGAAATATATGTTAAATGGAACCTTCAGAGACAGACTTGAAAGAGCCACCATATCTAAGTTAATATTTAACACGGTTGTGGTTCTTAGCCACGGGGGAATTTCAGAAAGCACTCCAATCCCTTTCAGTTGAAGCACATGTGAAAGGTTTGTTAGGAACACTTTC